AGAGGACATATACTATGTCTACTATGGAATATTATTTTAAGCCTTAGAATTGAAAATGTTCTATTCCATATAAAACCTCATACATAGTAGGTCATCAGCAAACGTTTCCTAACTTGATTTGTTAATGCAATACACTTCTTCCTTGTATTTAGGTATAGAGGATATAAATCAATCAATGCGTCAACTGGGTAGTAATCATCCACCTGTAATTTCTGCTCCCCACTTTTTTAAGGGTCTATTTACTTCTTTCATTTTTGTTTTTGTACTGGGCTTCCTAACATAACTCCTCCTTTTTCCATAGAACTTGACCAAGAAATAAAGAAAAACAAGCAAAAACAACTGATATAACTACCTGAATTTCCCACCTCTATACCAAGAGGTAAATGATAAATCTGTCCTCTGGAACCAAGGTTGGCCATTGTATTTAATATGAGTTAAGAGCCTTTTAATGTTTTTTATTTACATTATCGTAGTCATTTTATATGTTGTTATTCTATTTTGTTTTCGTTACTTCTTGTCAGTTCACATATTTCCCATTTCTCCGAATTCCTCATATACCATTTCTTACAGCATAATAATATCATCTTACAACATATAACCATAATTTGTTCACTCATTCCTCAGTCAATTGGCACCTGCTTTTGTTTCTGTATTTTGCTGTCACAAAAAGGGCTGCTATATTTATTCTGTTATGTATAGGACATTTTCTGCTTATTATTTCTTTGGAGGTGCATGGCCATGATTTGGCTCTGTGAGACTATATTTTTCCCAGACTTTGTTCTACTGTAGATACCGTGTGCTTGAGGAATGGGGTGGTAAGGGTGGGAGAAGAGGATATAAAAAATGAGAATAAGATTTGGTTTCAATCCTTGAGGAATTTATGCTCAAGTGAGAGAGAAAAAATAACACCCATGAACAAAACAGAGAATTGTTCAATTCTAACTAGAAGGCACTGACTTCTTGGACTAAAAGAATTCAGAGACAAGATCAGTGTAACCTCCCAGAGTTAGAAGAGGCTTCATGGAAAAGGTAATATTTGGAGTAGCCTTGGAAGGCTGGGTAGAACTAAAGTCTGATAAATTCAATCCCCTCATTTCAGAGATGAAGAATCAGAAAACTACAGAGGTGAATTGTGTCCTGTCCAGTGCCAGAGATGGGACTAGAAATTCTGACTCCTTATTCCTCCAGGGATCCAAGGATCTTTACACTATCCCATACTACTCAAAAGGGAAAATGTCCAAGGGTTCCCAGACAACAACATAAGAACTATACCAAATCTTTCATTGATAATATTTTCCTTTAAAAATCATCTGTTGGTTTGAATTGAGTTACCTTCAATTTGGACTTGGTAGCCTCTGAGGTCCCTTTCCACTCTTAGATGCTGTGATGCTATGCAATTCCTTTAAAAACAGATTTCATAGAGGAACAAAAGGAAAAGCTCTAGGATCTGTAGAGTGTTCTTATTTGTTTTATCTATTCATCTATCTAACCCCGATCCCCAATGGTTCAGCTAATGGTGCTCTCAGTAGAGGACTCTTTTCCCTCCCTCCATCTTTTATGTATTCAGGGAGAGGAAGGGCACTGAGGAAGAATGTCCCTTTAATTCTTCTGACCCCCCTGATGATGTGAAATGGAAAGGCAGGCAAAACCTGAAGAGGCTGAGATTGCAGTGAGTAACTCAAATATTAAAGGAGGACAACCCAGGAAGTCAGAACCACTAACAAGCATTAAAAAAATGCAAAACAAACCCTTGTATAAGATCTTGCTGACAAGTGCTATTAAATATTAATTCTATAGACCATGGAGACATCATTAAACAAACATATACACACTCGTGCTGAATGTGCACCAACCAAAGCATTTGTTTTACACACAGTTGTTGGTTCTTTGTGTTTCCTCACCAGTCAGGAGGTAATTTTTTTTCTGCATCCATTAATTGTATCATACACATCATTGACATCCTCATTGCCTTTTGGGTTATTTGTCTTCTCTTCTTTCATTTAATTGGGAAGACAATTTTTAGGGGAAATGAAAGGAGCTACCTTTTTTCAGACATCAATATAAGAATAAGAAAAAAGTAGGTTCCCTGACAGGCATCTTTTAGATTTAAAGAAGCCTAGCTATAAATAGGGTTTAACAGTAAAAAGGCATCTTGTATCTTGGATGGAATGCTGGAGCTGGACAGTACCTTATAGATCATTTGTCTAATTCTTTCATTTTGCAGATCACACTCTCAAGAAGGGGCCACTTTAGTGGACACTAAAATTCAGTCTAGTAAAAGGTTTTGGCCTGGAGCTAAACAGAACCTCTGAAGAGGAAATGGAAGGTCAGAAAAATAAAGCAACATACCCAAGGACACATAACTAGAGATCTGTAGAGCCAGAACTAGGATTCTAACCTCCTGACTATTAATTAACCACGTGCACTTCTCTCTGCTCCATTGTCACTTACCTCTTTCCCTCTTACCCCAGCTAAATGACATTTTCTACCCTTTTCTCCATATACTTAAAAAAAATCTTGTTTTTATCGATACCTTTTCTTTTCATATTACCAACTACATTATTTCACCTCCCCAGTGAGCCATTCTCTATAAAGGAGATTTAAAAAGAAAAAAAAAGCAGTTCTGTAAAAGTATCAACACGTTTATGGCATATTATCTGCAGTATTACCTACCCTTAGTCGTTGAAGGTCTATGCCAGGAAGGAAGGGAGGCATATTTTCTTAACTCTTCTCCAGAGCAAAGCTTGGCCATTATTATTATGCAGGAATACAACATTTAGCTGCCCCCTCCCTTTTTAAAGTTATTTTCATTTACATCATTATAGTCATTGTGTATATTGCTTTATTGTTTCTGCATCAGTTCATATATATCTTCCTATGATTCTCTAAATTGGTCCTATTTGTCAATTCTTATGTCATGGTAATGTGCCATGCCATTCCTGTTTATGAATTCTCCAATGGATGGACACTTACTTTGTTTCCAGTTCTTTGCTTTCACAAAAATTCTTTAGTGAGAAGTTTGTTTTATAACCCTATGCTTTTTTAAAAAGTCTAACAAAATAAGTTAAGCAAGTGACCACAAGATTAGAATCGAAAGGGACCGTAGAGGTCTTTTAGTCCAATGCTTTCATTTTATAGATGAGGATGAGGCCCAAGAAAGTTGAATGATTTATTTGACCAAGGTCACACTTGTAGCTGAGTCAAGTCATCAAAAAACATTTATTAAACATTTATTATGTGCCAGGTACTGTGTTGAATACTGGTAATACAAAAACAAGCAAAAAAAAAAAAGACAGTTTCTGCCCTCAAGAAGCTTATATTCTAATAGGAAGGACAATTCATAAGAGGGAGCTGACAGGTGGGGTTTGGGGTAGGGGTGGGGGATGAGCCAGGGATTCAATTGAGCCGAGCTAGGAACCCAATTCAGGCCAACTCCAGAGACAGTTTTGTTTTTGTTTTTATTTTTGCTTGTTTGTTTGTTTTCCACAACATTGTAAGCCTCCTTGTATACATGCATCACAGAAATGAAGATCTTTGCAGCTGGGGTATGGAAATTTAGAAAAGGAACTTAATTCATATAAAGGGACATTTGAGAAAAAAGAAAAAAAAAGATTCCAGATGTGAGACAGTTTGCAGAGGGGATTCCTTGCTCTAGATGGAAAGACTGGACAAGATAATCTGCAAGGTCCCTCTGAACTCCAAGATTTTATAATTCTATGATAATTCTGTCTACACCATAGGTTTTCTCTCTCTCTCTCTCTCTCTCTCTCTCTCTCTTTCTTTCTCTCCATGAAGCCCAGTGACTCAGGTGTCCATCTCTCCTTGGGCCTCAGATGGTCAGTGATTCCTTGAATCACTCAGTCCGTAAACATTTATTAAACTCCTACTATGTGCTAGGTACTGTTCTAAGCTCTGGGGATACAAAGAAACACGAAAGATAGTACTTGGCCTCAAATTGCTCAGAACCTTGCGAAAAGGTTAGGACTCTGGATCACTCTGGAGGACAACCCTCTTTGCTTTTCCGGATGAGAGACCTAGACTGTGACCCTGGGAAGAGGTCACATAGTCGGGATCCCCAGATAATGAAATAGATTACCAACGCAGTCTGCTTCTTTGGAGATGTTGAGAAAGCTTTCGGGAATCCGGGTCTGCTGTGGCCAGGTGCGGGGAAGGCCGTAAGAATGCCAGGCCCACACATAGAGAGTATGGTTTGGAGTTCAGAGACAGCTAGAGGGTCACTTTCATGTTCACATTCATGGAGGGTCATGTTTCATGTCAGCCCCTCTAAAGGCGAACGAAGGAGTTCGGGGTTCGCCTTGGGCAAAGAGTGAGCTGAGCCGGACAGAGCCCCAGCCGGGGATGGGGACAGTGGGCCTGGCGCGACCCTGAAGAAGCACACCACCCCCTCCCCCGCTCTCGCCCCCGCCCCAACCCCTTTATGCCTCTGAAGAGTGGTTAAAACGAGACTCCGAGAGCGAACACATGTGTACGAGGATTAGGATGAGGACAGAACCGGAGGAGGGGCAAGGAGACTAGCCAGACTGCCGGCCCGTCGGAAGACAACTACGACGACGACGATGCGCTGTTCCAAGAGGCCCCCGCCCCGCAGCAGCAGAGCGGCCGGGCTTGTCAGCCCATAAAACATCCTTCCCCTCGGCGCCTGCCGCCCGCGGTGCCAAGGCCCTCGCTTGTGCCGTATAAAGTGCATTTACGGGCTCCCACGGAAGCTGGCTAGACGCGACCGAGGGGGAAGCGGGCTGCAGGTTTTGCATACAATTACGGTGATGGCATCATTTTTTTGGAAACAAACTGTCCATAAATGTCACTGAAAATCCGAGTCTCCTTTTATTAAAACTGAAAAATGTGTATAAATGTAAATAACAAATGACTGATACAGGGATAAGAACACCAGAGCGGCTGCTGGCGCCTCTCTCTTCCTCCCTTTTTTTCCTCTCCTCCTCATGTAATTTGCATTAATAAAGAGGCTGTTCCTTGTCGGAATGTGTTTCATCCGGTTGAAAATCCCAGGGCGATCCACTAGGAAGAGCTCTGGGAGAATCCAACTGTCAGAGCCGACAAGACAAATGAATCCCGGTGTCAGGAGCGTGTGGTTCAACGATGACAGATTGAGAAGAACTGTCCCCCTCTCGACAGGCGGGCTTCATTTTCAAATTAATAAATCTGAATAAAATATTTTTCCTTTCATTACGAGCGGAGCCTGTTTGACAGTTCTAGTGACAGGAGGGAGTAGCAGTGTTGATGAGAACAGTTTGCATGAATTCCACCTGGGCCTTTTCTGTTTTATTTTTACCTGCAATTTTTTCCCTGTTTGCCTCTCTCCTTAGCCTCCTCTCACCTTTTCCCATTTCCCCCCCCTCCCCTTTCTTCGTTTCCTTTTACCTTCTGTGTTCCGGCATCCCCCTTTCCCCTTTTCTTTCCCTTGATTTCCCCCTCTATTTTCATTCTCCCTCTGTCTCTTAATGCTTGGCTCTCTCTCTCCCATTTCCTCTCTCCTTTCTGTTCACCTGCAGGCGACTACTCTGAATTAAAGGCCAGAGCATCATTTCATTAAAAAGAAAGGGGGAAAAAGTCCACCATTGATTGCTGGGAACTATTCTTTATTCTCTAGGCTGTACGTCACTGGGCAATCTGTGATAACAGTTTACAAGACTTCACGAACCCACTCATTTATAATTTCCCCTAAGCAAACAAACTCCCGACCACCACCTCCTCACACTCTCTCACATGCAGACAACACCCGCAACAGTTCCAAACAGAGAAACCTTTGTTGTAGATTTCTCTCTCTAAGCCTAAGGAATGAGATCAAGTCTACCTTTTCGAAATTGGCTATGTGAAAGCGCAGCTTAATGCTCGGGGTGACATGCTGTTCCTCCTAAATAATTTAGGAGCACTTTCTGGGAAACGATATGTGATCATTAGAGAAATACCACTGAGGAAAGTGACTTCTTGATAACAGTGGGGATTTTATTTTTGTGGTGGATATACAATCCAGGCACAGCAGGCAACTTGCAGTGTCCCGTTTCCACAGCCCAAGCTCCTAAGGGGCTGAAGTAAATTAATCAACGAATTCCACAGTCAATAACTCTCCAATCTCCAAGCTGCAGTTCATAGCCCTCTCCTTGGAACCTGGGGAGATGGTGAGAGAGCTACCTAATCTCCTTCGATGGAAAAACCAAGAAGAAACCGGGTGAGCATTTCACTCTATAAGGACTGTTCACTGGAAATTTATTTTAGTTTAAGGTACATTCATTTCCTCCCTTCCCACTTTCTTTGATCCTTACCGAATCACAAGCTTGAAATATTGTCTTAGCAGCTACTATAGGACAAACTTGCTTTCTAGACCTTCATGCCCAATGTGTTTTTTGCTTCTTTTTCCTAAGTCTAATCTTAAACAGAACAGAGAATTAAGGTACCAAGCTAGTGCTTGGATAAAATGTTGCATGATCCCAGAATTGTTCATTGAGATCTTCTTGAAGCATTATCAAATTTAGTTTTTCACCTGGACTTATCACTGTTTAGACTATACTACCTTGAAGGTGCTATCCATGAATCTATAAGAGAACATGAATCTAGCAATTAAAATCAAAGTAGATGCTTATCAATTGGGAAACGACTAAAGCAAATTGTGGTATATGGATGCAATGGAATATTACTGTGCTGTAAGAGATGACTAATGTGATGAATAAAGAGGAGTTTGGAAAAATCTACACAAACTGATGCAGAGGAAAGTAAGTAGAATGAAGAAAAGAATTTCCACAGTGACTACAGTGTAAATAATAACTGCAAAAAAATCGAAAGTTAACATTGCAAAATTATTAACAACAGGTTTCGCTCAAAAGAAGAGATATGAGAAAGACACTCTCACTTCAGCCCTCTGCAGAGGTGGGAGGTACACAATTGTGGACATGGGAGACACTGGCACAGGATGGCTCAGCATAGAGTACCCTCATCAGAGTAGGTTCTGTGCTCTATGAGCAAAGCAGAATTAAAGTAGCTCAAATGAAATGCAAGATGTGCAAATTTAGAGAATCCACACCAAATATTCACATGGATTATTTATGCCTGAACTGTAGTAGAGCATTCTGAGCTTGTATTGTTCTGATGGGCCACAGTCGGACACATTGTAACTTGACTCTAGCATAGTGACATCATTCTGGTCCTCTTTGAGAACCAACAACAACAACCACACACACACACACACACACACACACACATATGTGTATATATATATATATATATATATATATAATCAGACATTTTAAAATGTAATTATCAGTTATACTGATTTTTCCTCTTCTTTTTTTGTCTTAAAAAACTATTTGTTGTTTGGGATAGTGCTCTGGCAGCTCTAGAGAGAGAAATACTGGGTGAGAGGGGAAAAAAAGGAAAAGCTATTAGCCAGTCACCAAACATTAAGTAGCTAGTATGTACCAGAAACTGTACTAAGTACAGAGATAAATGGAAAGGTTAAAGAGATCCCTTGTCCTTAAGTAGCTCACAATCTAATGGAGGATATAATATGCAAATAACTATATACTAACAAGCTATATAAATTGGAAATTGGAAATAATCAACAGAGAAAAAAGCATGAAAATTAAGAGAGGACAAAATGCTTCAATAAAATTTGTTTTGAAACAATATATGAGTATAAGCTAAAATTAAAATCCAAAACAAAAATGACAAAAGATGGGCTAAAAATAGAATACTTTCTTAATTCTTTTGGGTATATATGTCTTTTCCCTCTAGCAGACAGGGTAGACTGTAATACCCAAATTTCTCAGGCCTTAAAGAAGTAATTCTGTTAATGAAGTCTGCCAAATTCTCAGGTTAACTGCATTTTAAAATGAGAGTCACCAACATTCCCACTGCAAGTGAGTTATGACTTGAGGATGGTAGTTTGAGCCTTGGCCCTAGGTCAGGGTCAGAATTTTAGAAAGTCTTCTGGTGAGCCTCTTATTGGTGGCTTTACTTATTAAGGAGAATTATTACCTTCTGCAAACTTAAGTCTGTCACAGTAGAGGAAAACATTTGTATTACCATTTCCTTCTTTAAATTTTATGTTCCTTATTCCCAAACTTGGCTTTGTAACACCCCACAGCTTTATGAAACTACATTTAAATGGCTTTTGTTTTAATGCTAGATTTTCCCTTCATTGCTGTCTCTGATGCCAACATAATTGGCACACAGTTGTAGCATGTGAGAACTACCTGGTCTAAGTGGGCAAGTGACTTAAACCTACTTGCACTTGCATTTTCTGTCCATTTGAATAGTTTTTCACATTCTGTACTCAACTGTTGCTCTGTGCAATGCTGTCAAGTGTTTAAGAAAGATAGCACAGTTCAGAAATCGTGGGGGGAAGGAGCAAGTCGACTCATGTGTGAGCATTAGCTCACAGAAGACTTTGGGATCCTTCAATCCTCATACTAGAAAAATGAAAGAACTAATGAAGTTGTAATAGCCAAGATGGATCACTTGTTTGTTCCTGTCCCTTTGCAACTCACATTTATATCATGGGAGTCCCCCAATGTCAAGGTCAGCACAGTTTAAATTCAACAGTCTAAAACAGAACTAATTATCTTTCCTCCCAAACCCTATTTTCTTCCAACTTTCCTATTTCTGTCAGAGGCACCATCATCTTTCCAGTGTCTCAGATTTTTAACCTCACTATTATCCTCAACTTCTAATCCTCCCTCTCCCCACATATCCAGTCAGATGACAAATCATACTGTTACTACCATCACAATATTTCTTACATCTGACTCCTCTCCATAGTTATCACATTAGTTCATGTGCTCATGGCCTTTTGACTAGATTATTGCAATGTTGTTTTTGTTGTTTAGTCATTTTTCAGTCACGTCTCACTCTTCAGTGACCCATTTTGGATTTTCTTAATTGGAGTGGTTTGCCATTTCCTTCTCCAGCTCAATTTACAGAGGAGAAAACTGAGGCAAACAGAGTTAAGTGAGTTGCACAGCGTCACAGATTTAGTAAGTGTCTCAGGTTGGATTTGAAATCAGAAGGAGGTATCTTCCTGACTCCAGGCCAAGCACTCTATGTAATAAAACACCTCACTGCAACAGGCTCCCAGTTATTCTCTTTGACTCTCTCTCCCCACTCCAGTGCACTCTCCTGTCAAAGTAATTTTCCTAAAGTGCAACTATAACAATGTGATTCCCCTATTCAACCTATTCTAGTGTCTTGTTATTATCTGAAGAATAAAGTATAAGCTCATCTGCTTAGCTTTTAAAGCCCTATATAATGGGGCCCCAATCTAACTTTCCAAGCTCATTGAATAATATTCAACCTACCTCACTCTGGAAATGTAGCCAAATTGTCCTTTTCTGTATTCCTCACTCACAACACTCGGATCTCCCATTTCCATGACTTTCTACTGGCTGTCTCCCATGCCTAGAATTCTCGTATTCCTTACATCCACTTCACAGAATCTTTTTCTTTTCAAATGCAGATCAGTATGGATATATGAGGTTGATATTAAAGATCATACCACAGAATAATTAGAATAGATCATACAACTTCCATCACTATGCACAGATGTATTCTTAACCAACCAAGGGATAGAGACAATCACAAAAGATAAAATAGAGAACGCTAGTTACATAAAACTGAAAAGCTTTTGTATGAACAATCTTAATGAAGCTAAAATAGGAAGGGAAATGATCAAATGGAAAAATCTTTGTATCCACTTTCTATGACAACGGTTTTGGTATCCAGGACATTCTGGAAGAGAGAGTAAGGCTAATGACTTTGTGCAATTCTGCCTTATTTAAATCCAATTTATGCACAAGTCATTACTTTGAGATATCGTCAGTACTCTTTGAAAACAAAGAATGACAAACGACTATACACACACACACACACACACACACACACACACACATATATACGTGCACACATATACTCATACAATATAGATACACACAGAAAACAATTTATATATGCATATCCATATGTATATATACACACAATTTATATGTATATGTACTCTATGTATGTATCTCTACATCTGTCTCTCTCTATATCCTAATATACAAGTGGTCTAAAGGAATGAACAAACAATTCTTATGAGAATTGTAAGAGAATTGTAAACTATTGACAACCATATGAAAGAATGTTCCTAATCATTAACAATAAGAAAATTTCAAGTAAACAAACCAATTCTGAGGTTTCACCTCATACCCTATAAATTCACAAAGGTGGGAATAGTCAATATTGGAGGGGTTGTGGGAAGATTGGCTTTCAGTGCATTGTTGTTGAAATGGAATTAGTATGGCCATTTTGGAAAGCAATTTGGAATTATGCAAATAAAGGGACTAAAATGTCTATTTAATTTGATCTAGGGATTCTACCACTAAGTTATTATCAAAAGGAGGCCATATATGTCCCCACATACAATGCAAATTTTATAAAATAAATATTTAGCCTATATTTACTTTTTTGTGATAACAAAGAATTGGAAACAAAGTTGATCCTAATAGGTTGAGAAATGTTTTAACATATTGTAAATGGGTATTTAGATAAATTGTGGTACATGGATATGATGGAATATTGTGCTATAAAAACAAAGAATATGATGAATGCAGAGAAGCATGGATAGATCTATTTCAACTGATGTAGAATAAAATAAGGAACCAAGAAAGCAACACACATGATTAAATGCGATTAGAAAGAACAGCAACCAAAAAAATCAATAGCAAATGTTACAAATTTGCAGGTAACAAGCATGCCTTAAAAAAAAAAAAGATACAAGAAGACATTCCTCCCCCCTTCCACCCCTTTTCAGAGGTAGAAGGTCCATGAGTATGGGACATTGCATGTGTTTTCAGAATTTTTTGATGTATTGATCAGTAATTCTTAATTTTTTTCTTCTTGTTCTTTGTGTGTGTATATACTTATATCTATATCTATGCACACACATATATACATATGCATATTTGTACACATACATGTATATAAATATATGTGTGTGTGTATGTGGAACGGATCTCTGGAAGGGGAAGGAGCAAGGATAATGGAGAAAATTTTTGGTGATCTAAAAAAAGATACAACAAAAATTTACTAAAAAACAAACGAAAAAATATGCAGTTTGTATACAATCTTCTTCATGATGTTCAACTTC